CATTCTTTTTCATTTGATTTGGAAAAAGTTGAAGGCTGAGCCTGGACTCTGAGCACTGTCATCATGGAAACATGTTAGCTGTCGCCAAAGGGAAGGGATATCCTAGAATCTGTGTCAGAGAAGCTCGAATGGGTAGCAGCTGGATTCCAGTTTGATAAAGCCTGTCCTGACTATGCAGTGTCCCTAGCGATGAGACTCAGAAACTGCGCTGAGATTGGCTGTTAGGATTGGGGTCTGCTCATCTCAGAGACTAATGATTCCCGCTCATTGCATGACATGTTTATTTACATGGTGCTGACCATGGAGGGCATTTCCAGAGACCACACAGAGTCGTTATCCCACTCACCTCCTTGATCAGTGGGTCAGCCTTAATGGAGCAGTGTTTTTACTTTGATTTTTTTCTTTGATTATCTTTGAAACTTAAATTCAGGTTTCACAAGTGACCAAGAAATTATAAAGTCTAAAAGCTAGTATAAGCCAGTTTAACTGACTAAAATGAACTTGCACCGTGAACTTGACATACCTACCTTTAGAAAGTTCATTTGGTGAGGAGTAGATGTTACATTAGTAAGAGACATAAGAGAAGGTGTCGCCGCCTGAGGGTCTGACTCTGGGACCCAATGCTTGCTGGTGTGCTTTCTGGCTCCGTTCCCTTTCTGTGGTCCTTTTTTTTTTTAAAACAGATACAGCCATGCTATGTATTTAAATGGTACATTTTAAAGAAACACTAAAGGACTATCTGTCTTTTTCAGAATTCTCTATTAAGAGAAGTTGAAAATGCAAAAAAACAATTAGAAGAAACACAACACGATAAGGTACTGAAATCTTCTCTAAATCCATGAAGAGCCGAGTTGAACTGAGTTGATGATGATGATAGTTACTGCAGATGTCTGACAGAGTGGAGATCAACTTGGTTTGTGGCTCTCATAGTCCACTGCCATAAGTTCCTAGCGCTCTCAGGCTTGTATGTTGAATGCCTTTGTATTTCAGGTGTATTTTGAGTCTGGCTGTGCATATGGTTCAGAATTCAGAGTCCTTTCTGGATTTATTTGAAGCTAAAATATTAGCATCAATGACAGTGCTGTCCAACAGAAATATTATATGAGCTGCATATGTAATGTTTAATTTTCTAATAGTCACATTTTAGAAAGTAAGAAATAGGTAAAATCTGCTTTATTTAATTCAGTATATGTAAAATATTATTTCATTATGTATGAATAGTAACAGAACTGAGCTACTTTACATTCTTTTTCCACTGTGTATTTCGTAGTCACAACACATCTCCATTTACACTAACCCATTACAAGGGCTCAGTAGCCACGTGTGGCTAGTGGTGGACAGCACAGCTCTAGAAATGAGATCAAGTATACTCATGACACAGGAATGGACGCATACCTGATGTAAGACAATTAAACACAATACAGAGACGCACAGGATGTGAATATTGGTCCCTTTCTCCCCTAAAAGAGTCTGCTTCTCTACAAAACTAATAATTGTTAATGGTTTGGTGTTTATCCTCTTAAAAGCTTTTCTATGACTAAGACACAGCTTTTCATTCATTAGGGCTTACAAAGTTAATATAGTAGTCTGAGTGTTTATGTTTATTGCAGTACTCTTGGAGAAAATTTTCCCAGAATTAAAATGTTTGGTATTTTTAACTGCTGATTTAACCTGTTAGGGTTATGCTCAACATCTGAGCACATTTGAAGTAAGTGATTTTAAAATCTCAAAGAGATAGCAGTAATGTAAGTCTTTTGCTTTTCTGTAGGATCAGCTTGTCCTGAACATTGAAGCACTGAGAGCTGAACTAGACCAGATGAGGCTAAGAGGTGCTTCACTTCATCATGGGTATGGTATTAACCAGTGAGCAGCTGTATTGTCAGCACCTGTGGCAGGTCAGCTCTTGGCTCTGTGGGCAGCCTAACTGGGTGCGGCTAATGGTGTGGCCTCAAGGAGCCTGTAGCTTAGCAGGAAGCAAGAGAGAAGAGTGAAATAACTCAAAGGTTAGAGCTTGGTACTGAGGACACACATCACTGGCAGAACTCCAAAACGCAGGAGTTTTGATCAGTTAGTATTTGGATATATTAATCGAGGTGCCAGCAGAGTGTGACACTGATGATGTAAGAGCAGGATGACAGATCCCAAGATTTCACACCACAGATGCTGGCACGGGTGGGACAATTGCAGAGCAGTTGAAGGCCAGCAGTGGCGTGTGGTTGTGTTTCTCGTCAGCCCTGGGAAAGTGGAGCAGAAATGCAGAGCCGGACACCTGGACCCAGAGGAGGGGTCTCAGGCGACCCGGGGTCTCTCTCATCCTAGACAGCTGGGCTCCTTGTTGCTCATCGCCGTGGCCGTCTGCACAGCTTTTCCTGGAGAGCTTTCTACCTGGTGGGGCTGAGAGACAAACTGTTGTCCTGGAGGAGGCAACAAGTAGCTCTTGGGGCGGGTGAGAGCAGTGCCCTCCCTGGAGACCCTTTCCTGTGTGGAGTAACTTTTCCAAATTGATAGATTCTGCCTTAACTAGAAGAGAGTTTATTTCCTTTTCTTCTAATAATGATCATTCTTATTTTTCATATTTCAGCCGACCCCACTTGGGCAGTGTCCCAGATTTCAGGTTCCCCATGGCAGACGGCCACACAGACTCCTACAGCACCAGCGCAGTGCTGCGGCGCCCGCAGAAAGGCCGTCTGGCAGCCCTGCGAGATGAGCCTTCCAAGGCAAGGTCTTTGTGTGAAATACCTCTGCTTACATGAAAGTTAACCTACTTATCCTATGGCTTTCAGACTGCTTTGGAATAAAAATGTTGATAGGTCATTGCCTTTCTTGCCCTCCTCTCATTTTCTATTTTCTGGCTAAGAGTTTAGCTTTTAGAGCATTTTTTAAAATAGGGTTTTGTTTTTGTTTTTGTTTTTTTTAAAGAGATAGGGTCTGTGTTGCCCAAGCTGCTCTTGAACTCCTGGCCTCAAGCAGTCCTCTTGCCTCGGCCTCACAAAGTGCTGGGACTACAGGCGTGAGCCATTGTGCCTGGCGTCTGTAGTTTTTTTTTTTTTTTCCTTTCTTTCTTTTAATAGGAATTCTTATAAAAATACAGTCATTTTTAAATACAGTGATAATCATGGATTTAAAGTAGTGATTAAAAATAAATGAGTAGGCCAGGTGCGGGTGGCTCACGCCTGTAATCCCAGAACTTTGGGAGGCCAAGGCAGGTGGATCACCTGAGGTCAGGGGTTTGAGATCAGCCTGGCCAACATGGTGAAACCCCATCTGTACTAAAAATACAAAAAATTAGCTGGGCATGGTGGCAGGTGCCTGTAATCCCAGCTACTCGGGAGGCTGAGGCAGAAGAATCACTTGAACCCGGAGGCATTGCAGTGAGCTGAGAAAGCATCATTGCACTCCAGCCTGGGCTATAAGAGCAAAACTCCGTCTCAAAAAATAATAGAATAGAATAGAAATCTGGGTGCAGTGCCTCACACCGGTAATCCCAGTGCTTTGGGAGGATCGCTTGAAGCCAGGAGCTTGAAACCAGCTTCGGCAACACAGGGAGACCCCTGTCTCTATTTAAAAAAAAAAAAAGAAAAACTTAGCTGGGTGTGGTAGTGTGTGCCTATAGTCCCAGCTACTCGGGAGGCTGAGGCAGAAGGGTCCTTTGAGCCCAGGAGATTGAGACCAGCCTGGGCAACATAGTAAGACCCTGTCTCTACAAATAAAGAAATTAGCTGGGCATGGTGGCATGCACCTGCAGTCCCAGCTACTCTTGGGGCTGGGGTAGAAGGATCCTTTGGGCCCCGGGAGGTCAACGCTATAGTGAGCTATGATTGCACCACTGCGGTCCAGCTTGGTCAACAGAGTAAGACCTTGTTTCTAAAAAATAAAAGAAGTAATTGAATACATATATTCATCATTTAGTGAAAAGAATTCACCTTTGAACATTTACCTTCTTTCTTTGGTCTGTTCAGCAGCGTTTGTTTGAATACATGTAAGTGTAATTTTAGCCCCCATAGTCACTCAACAGCTAGTTTGGGCCCGGCCCCATTACAGCCCTGTAGAGACCTAGGGCTGCAGCAGTGTGTAGTGAAACAGGAAGAATGCCTGCATCCCAGAGGACACAAACAGTCGACATATAAAGTCTAGTAGTGTGTGTGTGTTGACTATCGGTGTGTAACAAATTACCACGGAGCTCAGTGGCTTAAAACAGTGAACATTTCATAGTTCACGGCTCCTGTGAGCGCAGGAGCAGCAGAGCAGGACAGTCCTGGCTCAATCTGGCAAGACTGGAGCTGCAGAAAAACCCAGCTGGGGCAGGAGGCCTCGGGGCCATCACCCACCACTTGGATCTGGCCACCAGGGCTGCTCTGTGGTCCTTGCATTGTGATGCGAGCAGCCCGTACTCTAGGAGAGGGCGAGAAGAAAGTCCCACAGCCTTTCCAGTCCTGGTCTTGGATGCTGCAGCCTTCACTTCCTCTCTAGTCTGTTCATTGGAGTGAGGCGCTAAGTCTTGCCCACACTCAGGGTTTGGGGTGAGAATCACCCTCCACCTCTTAAAGGGATGAGTGTTAAAAGTGTTTGTGGACATATTTTTAAACCATCCCGGTATGTCAGATGGTAATAAGCAC